AATGTTTTCTATTTCTATTCTACTTTTAATATGTCACTAGTCAAGACAGCAAGACACTAGGACTACTGTGTACAAGAGAACTGAAGATAATTATAATCTTAGAATGAAGTCCTCCAGAGGTATAGTAGTTATAATACCTTTTAAAATAATCTTATTGTAATAATGATTATTTTTTAGCATTTTTCAGTGAAGTTTGTAGCAAGTTTGATGTAATGCCATTTTCATTGAGGTATTTCTAGTGGGTGTGGTTTTAATGTAACTCCACCCATACAGATCTTTTGAAGAGGAAGGAAAGGCAAGAATGGGCGTGGTCGAATGCACTAATCATAATTTATTGGAACCATTTCATGTACTATATGAAAAAGAAGGTATACTTATTATGATTATATTCATTTTATAATTGATTGCTACTACTGTTAATGGCAGAATGATGAACACTTTCTTTCCCCAACAGAAAGAGTTAGTAGCTCTTCCTTTGTTGATATTTTAACCCGTTACTGACTGCCTATGTATTAATAATTATTACTTACTAATTTATTTATTATTATTATCAGCATCATCATTATTGTTATTATATTATTTTGTGCTTTTTTATTATTTTAGGAGAATTTGTAGCTCAATTCAAGTTTACTGTATTGCTGATGCCAAATGGACCTTTAAAGTAATGAAGTTTAGAGTTTCCCACCATTTTTGGTATAGTGCTTAGCATCTTGACGGCAGATTTCTAAAATTGCTCCAAATTTTTGCAAAACACCCTTTACATAGTACAGGGTTTTTGAAAACATTTTACCAAAAATAAAAAGGAGAGAATTCTTCATTTTTATAATTTTTATTGATGTATATAGAATCTACGTGTATTTATGTAGAAAGTCTGAGTTGATCCTTGTCAAAACTTGATTTTTTACAAATTTTTAAAGTTGCTCCAAAAGCCATGTGGCATTGAAGTGCTGTTTAGCTCACTTACTATGCTTGGTGGAAACCCTGATTGAGTTATGACTATACATGTACTTTACTATATTTTGTTCAACTGTAGGCTACTATGAAATCATTGCTTTCTTGTATTCCTTTTTGTTTTATAGAATAACTAATACATTATTTGATCCATCAGTGATTGAGAGCACCAATAAATTAGAGGATGCAGAACTAAAGGTAATGGAGTCACATTATTAGTATTACTATCATTATTATTATTATTATATTTTAGACATTATTAGCAACATCAGTGTCAAAGAAAGCTAAGAAGAAGAAGAAGAAGGCTGGAAAGTCGTCAGCAGCCACAGATGAAGCCGAGACAGGAACAAATGATGACTGAGAATAAGTTTAATTGATTTATTTATAGATTAATTATTGTTTCCTCTACTTGTTACAAAGATAATTTATTTTGTTAATACCAATCGTGTGCTAACATATATGACAGGAGTGCATGGTGCTTCACTTACTCTTGATTGTGGTAGTTGCATCTGCTTTGATTGCATAATACTAGTTACAGGTTAGGCAAAACAAGATCACTGTTAATTAGAAAATAGTCAGTTAAAATAAGAACTAAGCAATCAAGCTCTAACTATAAGTAGCCCAATACCTTTACATGGTCTGATTGGTCTTTGGTGTATTGTTCTTTTTGTATGTAGTGAGCTAGGGGTACATATTGAATGTTGATGGTTTTATAGCAGCTGTGGGACACACTACAGTGGTTGGATGTTCAAAAGTAAGATACTTAAAACACAAAGTTGCTCCACTTCAATTTTCTAAATTTTGCCCCCTCTCTTTTTCAGGATAATAAAGTGACTGGTAGATTAGCTGATGTGTTAATGGCTGGACACATTGCCTCTGAGATTGCTTACAGAATGGTAGTACCTGGAGGAGAGGTATATATAGTTATGATTTTTTTGAAGCTGAGTACCTCTTTCTCTATCTTTTAGAGTCTGGCAGTGACAGATACCATCAATAGAGTTGGTGCTGATTTTAAATGTTCGCCAGTCGAGGGTATCCTCTCTCACAGATTAAAGAAGAATTTGTATGATAGTGAAAAAACTATAATTCTTAACTCCAGCGACTCTCAGAAGTAAACCAATAAATAGGGACAATAATTCTTATGTTTATAATATGCCATTACAAATACGAGCTGTTGCTATTGTTATTGTTAATGTTATTTGTTTATTTTAGGAGAGAATACAAATCGAGTGAGTTTGAGTTACAGGAAGTATACGCCATTGATGTTATCATTAGTACAGGAGATGGAAAGGTTAGCATATTATTAGGATAGTATTAGATTCATGTGACTGTTTGTCCTGCAACAATACGTTGATAGCTATTATTGCATGTTGCACAATTGAACTATTGGATTTTGTGCATTTCACAAATATGTTAGCAATAAAAAAATTATTATTTTTTGTAAAAATCACAGAAAAGGGAAGGACAATAGCAGCAGCAATGCAGTATATGCATTTTAAAAACATGTTAGCAAAAAAATCACAGAAAGGAGGACAATAACAGCAGCAGCAGCAGTATATGCATTTTTTTAGCTTGCTACAAATTGTCATAATTTTTTACTTCAGCACTGGATTGCGTTTTGCAGCAGCACTTATAAAGCCCCACACATAACGCAATAAAAGCAATGATACCAATAATAATATTAGTAACAACTGCTATAATAGCCCATGGTTTACAGGGGTCATTGGCACATTCTTGTATGTAGCCACTTTTAACAGCACTGACGTATATTGTGTCATTGTTACAGCCCAGGATCTGAAGAGAGACATAGTCCAGTTCAAGTCCATACTTATCTGTCTTTGTAGCTTCTATGACAAGATTATACAATCCTTCTTTGGTATTCATATAATCTCCAATGGGGCCTGTGTCTTCAAAATCATTCCATAAGTTTCCATTACCAGCAGCTTCCCTTGTAGTAACAGTTCCAAGTAGAGTAGTAGTGCTGCCCTGGTTCAATGTAAGGGTAAGCCTGCTAGTTTTACCATCATTACTATAGCGAAGATTCCCCACTTGCATTTGGCATTCGTTAGACCTGTTTCCAGTCACTTGGAAGAATAAGTTCACGGTTCCTTCTTGTTTAACAAGGACTGTGATACCATTGTTTGCATTGCTTCTATACATCTTCTTTGCTTCAGTGCTGATGCCATCATCTGCTTGAAGCTCAACTGTGAAATCACCTTTTGAGAGAGCAACAATGTATAGCATTATTAGTATGGTAACAAAGAATAAGGCCTTCTTCATTTTGATAGTATTAACTGACAACAAAAGAATGTCTAGCTAAGCATCAATGTTTTGGCAGAGATATGAATTAGGTGAGGTATGTCCGTGTAATCCGTTTATATAAACATAAGATTTCCTTGATGCTTTTTCTAAGAGTTATGTTTATCATTAGTTCCTGTCATTATTACATTTAAATGAAATTTGCTAATGTTTCCTATTTCTATTCTACTTTTAATATGTCACTAGTCAAGACAGCAAGACACAAGGACTACTGTGTACAAGAGAACTGAAGATAATTATAATCTTAAAATGAAGTCCTCCAGAGGTATGGTAGTTATAGTTATAGTATTTTATAAATTATTTTATTATTAGCATTTTTCAGTGAAGTTTGTAGCAAGTTTAATGTAATGCCATTTTCATTGAGGTATTTCTAGTGGGTATGGTTTTAATGTAACTCCACCCATACAAATCTTTTGAAGAGGAAGGAAAGGCAAGAATGGGTGTGGTTGAGTGTACTAATCATAATTTATTGGAACCATTTCATGTACTGTATGAAAAAGAAGGTACATCTATACTTATGATTATATTCATTTTATAATTGATTGCTACTACTGTTAATGGCAGAATGATGAATACTTTCTTTCCCCGACAGAAAGAGTTAGTAGCTCTTCCCTTGTTGATATTTTAACCCAACATTACTGATTGCCTGTGTATTTTTAATTATTACCGTATAGCAGGAAATTTTTTGAGGATAACAAATTTTGCAGATTTTTTCTTGATTCGCGAAATTAAATTCCTTGAAAATCAATCAATTTAATACGGTACAAGATGGCAGATTAGTGGAAATTCATGAAAATTAATTTCGTAAACTTCTGGATACGGGTCATTCGTGAACTTTATTATCCTCGAAAAAAAAAACCGCTATACGGTACTTACTGATTTATTTATTATTATAATCAGCATCATTACTATTGTTATTATATTATTTTGTGCTTTTTTATTATTTTAGGAGAATTTGTGGTTCAATTCAAGTTTACTGTATTGCTGATGCCAAATGGACCTTTAAAGTAATGAAGTTTAGGGTTTTCCACTGTTTTTGATATATTGCTTAGCATCTTGATAGCAAATTGCTCCAAATTTTGGCAAAACACCCTGTACATAGTACAGGGTTTGTGACATTTTACCAAAAATAAAAAGGAGAGAATTCTTCATTTTTATAATTTTTATTGATGTATATACATGTATTTATGTTGTGTAGAAAGTCTGAGTTGATTCTTGTCAAAACTTGATTTTTTACAAATTTTTAAAGTTGCTCCAAAAACCATGTGGCATTGAAGTGCTGTTTAGCTACTATAATTTGTTCAACTGTAGGCTACTACAAAATCATTGCTTTCTTGTATTTCTTTTTGTTTTGTAGAATAACTAATACATTATTTGATCCATCAGTGATTGAGAGCACCAATAAATTAGAGGATGCAGAACTAAAGGTAATAGAGTCACATTAGTAGTATTACTCATTTTACTGTTATTATATTTTAGACATTATTAGCAACATCAGTGTCAAAGAAAGCTAAGAAGAAGAAGAAGAAGGCTGGAAAGTCGTCAACAGCCACAGATGAAGCCGAGACAGGAACAAATGATGACTGAGAATAAGTTTAATTGATTTATTTATAGATTAATTATTGTTTCTTCTACTTGTTACAAAGATAATTTATTTTGTTAATACCAAACATGTGCTAATTTTATGCCCTACCATCTATGCTACCTTGTACTATAGTGTGTGGGTGTATCAAAAGCATCACCATGAGTTTACCACAGGAGCTGGAGGGGATGAGGGGTAGTTATCTAACTGCCAATACTGACATACAGTGCCTTTCATACACCCACACACTATAGTACAAACCAGATAAGCTACAGCTGTTGTGTGTTACTGAATATATACACTGGGATGTTAGTTGATTAGCCTTGGCTTCTATGTAACATAGATATATACTACATAACATACTAGCATCTACTCTTGCATATATACATGCTTCTAATCAACTAACATCCTCGAGTTGCATCAGCTTTGATTACATTTAATTTGCCTGGTTTGCAGCTTCATTACTCACAATACTTTTAATCACATTTATTATATAAACAATACAGGAAAACAACATCATTATAATAATAAGAAAAGTCAGCTTAAGCAAAAAAACATCACTATAATAATAAGAAAACTCAGTTTAGCAAAACAACATCATGTCAGTTAAAATAAGAAATAGGCAATCAAAGCTACAGCTATAAGTGCACCAATACCTCCAGTAAGTGCTCCTCCAACAATTACTGCTGTTCCTCCAATAGCTGCTCCAACAAGACCTCCAGCAACAGCTCCTCCAACTCCACCAATAGCACCTCCTATAACTGCTTTAGTTAATTGGCTGCAACCTTTCTCTGACTGGCTACTATGAGCAAGATCTTCAATATTTTGATTGGGTTGGGTGACATCTTGTACTTCATAATCAGCATCTGGTTGGACACAGCTGGCAAACAATTTCTCTCCAAGAAGATTGAGTACTATACTTATTCCAAGTGATAAAATAGCTCCACCAGCCCTGTGAAACATGTGCTTCAATGCTCCCACTAGCGTCTCACGCCAACTTTGATCAACAAGACTTTTTCTTTTTGGATGGCAAGAAAAAACAATATTGTTTACAATATCTGTAATTAATCCAACTTCAACACTCATCGACTCCAGCTGGTTTTCAATGCCTTTCTTCCAATCATTTTTCATTTTCTCGATTCCAATGGGGTCATCATCAATTTCAGGGGAAACTGAATCGCATTTTGTAATGACAACAATGACATTTTCCCACGTATCCAGAGAGTTGCATACATCAAATGCTATCTGTGTATCGTTACTGTCTAGTCTATCTTCCAAGGCTATGCACAGAAATACAGTGCAGTGACTACTTTGTTTGCATACCTCTTTAGCTTCACGTTTCATTTCGTCCAGGTCAACTTTAACGTCTCCTAGGCCAACCGTATCTGAAACAAAGTAGGCTTTCTTTGTATTGGATCCATCTGACTTTGTTGAACTTGCTTCTTCAATTTTAACCGTTTTAATGTGCTTCCACAGTCCTGGTATGTCGCTGCTCTTCGTCCCACTGGTAGGCCCAGAGCTTCCCTTGAATTTTCCTTCGGTGAGGGCTCCAGCAAATGTTGATTTCCCAACAGCAGGCCTTCCAAGTAACAACAAATGTGGATCTTCATTTGCCTCTGCACTATTGGCTACCTCTCTAACTTGATCTCTCTGCTTTTCTGTCAGATTAGCCTGCTTTTGTTGAATCTCTTNTGAAAATTTCATCACCCATCTCAGGCTAAATCTACGAACTGCAAGAACTGCCAACAATAGTTCCTGTTAGATCTAGCTAAAATATGATCTAGATCTTTTGTGGAAATATTACTTCTGTGGT